TATACACAGTTTATTACAAATATGCATATGAAACTAAAAATTCATGCACATGTATGACAATATATTATAACACGTATAACAATATCAGCAAAAAATTTTTATTTTTAATTTTACTTTATCTTAAATTTATAAAAAATTCTGAATTCGCTTTAAAATTAAAATTAACATTATTGAGGTTATACAATACACGAAGTGTAATTAATTTCTCCTATTGACAAACAATACGTAAGAATCAAAATTTTGTGAAAAATATAATTATAATTATACCTCAGTGATTATAATAAAAAATTTGAAAATAATATTAGTTTAATATTAATAAATCGGGAAACTTGGCATATTTTTTCAGTTACTTATAAACATTAAGAATTAAATTTATTGGGAAGTTGCAAACTTAAGCAGCAAGGAAATTAACTCAATTATTAATAACTTTTAAACTATATGTACACATACATATTATGTATGTAAATATAATACAAATGAACAGTTGAGTAAATAACAAATTAGAATGTAATTGGTATTCAATACAGCTGAACCAATTCCCTTAATTAGAGTTCACAAAAAAATAAAGATTAACCATTGAAAATTTTTTATTCATTCATTTATATCGTAATTTTCATTTTACAACATGAGAAAATTTTTACTTAACATTGTCATAAAAATTTACAAAATTTCTCGCCAATTGAAAAATATTTTTTTTTACTCCCAAAAAAAAATTATTAATTTTTCCCCCTAAATCTAAGCTCTATAATTATTATTTTCTTAATTATTACTGAATGGAATCATGTGAATTTAATAAAAAAAAATTACTATAATAATAAATAATTGCATTATACTCGTATTTCATTAAGTAATTAATTAGAAAAGGTCGTGCTAAAATCATTAAAATTAATTAAAAAACAAAATAAAAATGAGCAAAAATTAAAATTAGACAATGTTGAATTCAATAATATTTCAATTGAATTTTAAGAAATCGCATTACATCATCAAATTTTGTTTAATTTCTATTAATAAAATTAAATACAAAATTATTTTTTTTTTTTTTAGAGTCGTAAATTTTTCATTCTATTTTTCATATTTTAATAAAAAAAAAAAACTCCTAATTTGTAGTTTTTGTTCTCTCTTATAAATATGTCATCATTCAATTACCATTCAATTTTTTACGCTCTAAAAATTTTCCATTTCAAGGAGGGACAAGAAAACTAAGTATACGTATATAAAATACAATAAATATTTAAAAACGAAAAAAGAAATAAAAAAAAATTGAATTAAAATTCGCAAATTTTTCAATTTCAATTATTTTTTCTTTATTTAAAAACTATATATATACTTTTTGTATAAACATATACATCTCTGTACGTAAGACCAATGATGATGATGAGAATTGTACATATTAAATGAATCAATATATACACGACGTTAGTAACCGGAAAATTTCAATGTCGACGAAAAAAGAAAAATTTAAAAGATACACACTTTAAACAATATTTATTATACAAAAAAAAAACAAAAACTAAAATGAAAAACCACAATATGAATAGAAAAAAAAAATCAGTAATTGAAAATTATAGAATTAAAGAAAAACAAAACAAAAAAGAGCATTCATCCTATCAGCAATTCAAATGAAATATTAATCCAAAAGATATTCATTTTGAATTTTTTTTTTTTTGTAAAGAATAAATATTAATTTTTATACTCGTATTAACAAAACAAAAATAATAAAAATTATTTTTAAAGTTTACAACAATTTCATCAAGAGGGTGAAAGAGAGAGAATAGATTTATGAAAAAAATAATATATATATAAACGAAGTTAGTGAACAAATCAAGGTTTTTAAATATACTATATATAATTATATAATCCAGCAGTTGATTTTAAAATTTGACGTAATATGATTAATATAATTGATAATCTTAAAATTAAAAAATTGCGAGAGATCGAATTAAATAAAATATTGAAAATTTCAATATTCAATATTTTAAAAGAAAAACACAGTCATAAATGAGTCCAATGTCTGTTATTAATTAGGGCGATTTAAAATACATGTAATATAATTAAGAAACAATCAGTTTTTCTTGAAATGAATCTCTTTATCACACTTATTCTTATAAGATATTACGAGTATAAATATGTTTTATATGAAATAAAAAAACTTGCTAGTGAAATTGCTGCCACCTTCACTATATATATAAGATATATGTATATGTATATATCTGTTTCATATGTGTATATCTGTTATATATCTGTTATATAGTGTATATATCTGTTATATATAGGAGATATATATATGGATTTATATGCAACCTTCATTATATATATAAGATATATGTATAATGAAGGTATTATATAAGTATATATATGTGTTATATATAGTGTATATATACATATATGAGATATATATGGACTTATATGCCACATTCACCATATATAAGATGTATGTATATGTATATATATGTTATATATAGTATATATATATATATATATATATATACATATATATATATATATATATATATATATATATATATATATATATATATGTGATATATATGCATTTATATATTATATATATCTTATATATATTTATATATATCTTATATATATATCTTATATATAGCGTATACATATATTCATAAGATATATATGTAAGTATGCATATATAAAAATACGTTGTATTTATCTTATATATCTTATAAATATCTTATATTTATCTTATATATAGTGGAAATGGCAGAAATCTATATATATCTGTATATGTTCCTATATCTTATTACAAAACTCAATTTTTCTCTTATGGAAATAAATAAAACTATAGATATTATTCATTAGAATAAATAGAATGAATAAAACTATAGATTTAACATTTAACTAAACTACACGCAATAATACAGAATTATACATATTAATAATTATCAACATTATATAGTGTTCATGAAATTTTTTATATAAATATTCTAACAAATATAATATTCAACTACAAATAATAAAATACATTAAAATAAAAATCAACGACTTTAAATATTTTAATCGCCAATATAAGATTATTCCACCTGAATCTACTAATATATATATATAACCCAAATTATATACATATATGTTATATGTATTGCTATATAACAGAAATTTAATTTAAAATATTTAAGTATAACGCGTAACCTTAAACTTTAATTTTTTTTAAATTATTTACGAAATTTGTTAAAGTTTAAAACGAAAAAAAAATTAACATCATAAAAACAAATGAATTGTATTGTAATTGACAAATTGCCAACATGTTAATGACATTGAAGATGATATATTTTATAGCTTCTATACACGAGAATTGTGTGAGAATTAAATTTAATAGAATTAATATTAAATTTTTCATATATAATAAAATCAATAAATTCAGTCGTATAAATTTCTTTTTAAAAAAAAAAAAATTTGCAAATAAAATTAAGGATAAGAAAAAATAGGTATTCTGTTCTGTATTGTTATACCGGTATAAGTTTAGGAAATACTTTACCACTTATCACAACTTTTATTGTATTAGCGAATGAGTAAAATTTGTTATAGTACGATTTTAATTTTCATCTCCAAGTATAGAACTTTAATATAAAATGAGTTCCAATTCTATTTACGATTCAATAAAGATACGAATGATTTTTTATTAAATTTCGAATTTATTTCGAAAAAAAAAAAATCGTAATTTTGATTTTCGAAAAAATTCAAAATTTCGAAATTCGAAATATAATTTCATGTTTTCTTTCGAAATTTTAGATATCAAGGCTCGAGCAATTAAAATTACTTGCCCAAGATTTCTTATAATATTCTTATATGCCAACAAATTGCTTTTTTACTCTTTGCTCTTTGCTTTGAAACGAAACTATTTTTCATATTAATAATATTGAAAAGAGAATAAAAATAGACAATAATTAAATTGTCAGACAGACACTTGAACTTATATGGAGTGAAAATTTAAAAGAAATAAAGAAAAAGAGTTTGCAAAAATAAAAACACCACAATTTTTAAGAATTTCTTCTAAAAATACAAAATGTGGTGGAGTGCTTGACTGCTGATAGTATTTTTGTGTTTTTTTTTCTTCTTTTAATAATTTATTTAGAAAAATTAAATATTTTCACATTCCATTTTTGCAATTTTATTTTTTTTTTGTTTTTTGGATAAATAAATTCTACTTGTTTTTCACGAATGAATCAGCCAATCAATCCCCATATAATATATAAACATACAATAAACTTTTGTTTATTAAATTGAATCAAGAATGTAAAGAGGATATTAATTCTTCATATCTTCGCTATATTGGAAAATTTTTCAAATTTTATGATTTTCATGTTTTTGGTTTTCTTTATTCTTCGTTGTTTTTTTAAAATAAATAGAAATTATTGTTAATTTGGAAAAATTGTTATAGCGTGTTACCAAACTGACTTAACATACATATATGTATATATGCTCACTTAAGTCAGCATATTTATTTAATAAATATGAATGTATGTATGATATAGATAAAATAAATATAAATGTATATACAATATATTTGATTCAATATATAAGAATTTAGAGGCGGAAAAATCATCAGCCATAAAATATTAGCTATTCAGAAAAAAAAAATAGAAAAAATTTCATATATGATTTGGTTTTCATGATCTCATTTCGAATTTTTTATTTGTAATGAAACTTACATATATGTATATATAAATATATGTATATTCCTAAATATATATATATATATGCGCATGTTTATAATTTCAAATTGAAATTTTAATCAATTTTTTTTTTTCAATAAATATTCCGGATATAATTTTTTTTTTTTGCAAAACTTCACAGTTTTATGAAGGTTAACATTCAATAAAATTAAAGTTTTCCCTACTTTCAAAACTTGGACATTACACCATGATATATAGCGAATAGGGACCAATCTATACCATGAATGAACCAAATAAGTATTGAAATAGAATTTTATATATTTATTAAATAATATTTAATAAAAAAAAAAAATATTAACTTACCTCATTTTTTGTTATCCTATGTTTTGCTAATTTAACAACAGCAAAATTTCCTTTACCAATTGTTCTTTCAATATCATAAAATCCAACACGTATAGGTCCTTTTGATTTACTGTTACTATTACTATTACTATTACTAGAACTATTAATAACTGCACTATTTGTAACTGGTGCTGTAACAAGTGAATTAACAGCTGATGTTGGTAATAAACTACCACCGCCAACACTTGTAACACCAATATTAATACCACCACTAATACCACCAATACATCCATTAGCTGTTGTTCGGATTTGACTAGGATTTATAATATTATTATTATGTAATATTGAATTACCAATATTACCACTACCACTACTATTAACACCAGTATTACCAACAACACCACTACTGCTACTACCAACAGTATTATTACCAATTATTGAATTTGTATTTACACCAATTATAGGACCACCACTGCTATTATTTAAATTTAAACCACCGCTACCATTTAATGTATCACTATTAGTTAATGATAAAACTGATTGTATTGAATTTTGATGATGTAATTGATTTTGTTGTTGTTGTTGCGTTGATTGTTGATGTGATTGCATTAATTGTTGCTGTTGTTGTTGGGATGGTGTTGGAGTTGTTGCACCACTTCCACATACAGTACCACTACTACCATTACATAATGTTATACCAGATGTTGTAGATGAAACTGTTGTTATTGATGCCGTTGAAACTGTTGTTGGTAATGTTGATGTTGCTATTGATGATGATGTTACATTAGATATTAAAGATGATGATGATGATGGTATTGCTATTGATGTATTATTAATTGATGATAAATTATTGGTGCCTGTAGTAGTAGCATTATTTAATGACATAATATGTTGTGCTAAAACTTCACGGTCTCCCATTTTCATTGATTTTTTTCTTATATTATTTTTTAATTTTGTTTTTATCAAATTTTAACAGCAACGTATACCGAAATTAAATTAGTTTTATTTATTTTCTTTCTTTTTTTATTTCTATAATTAATTTTCTTTTCACGCATTTATTTCAATGATTTTATTTTTAATATAAGTATAGAGAATAAAGGAGACATGCGAAGAATGAGACATTGAACTAAATAATTTTTTTTTTAAATTTAATTTAATTTTGTTTATGTTTTCTTGTTTTTTATAATATTTTAATTCTTAAAACTGTGATTGTTTTCAGTAAATTTTAAATATATTAATTTTTTTTTTTTGAAAAAAAAGAGTTCTTTTTCTTTTTTAAATGTTAACTCACAAAATAATTGATTGATTTTTTTGTTTTTAATAAAATTCGGGTTTTCTTTGATTGGAGTTGCATTTTTTATTATATTATTTTATTTTTGTTTTTTTTTTTCTTTTGTATATATTATTAATTTAATATTTCTACATTAATTCTATTATTATTTTTAATATTATCGAATTTAAATAGTAATAGCAATTTTATGGTTGTTTTATAGTAAATTTCTTCGATAATTTTTCTCTTATTTTAAGATTAATTCATTATTGTGTTGAAAAAGTTACTATTGCTTGAAATATGCATCTGAAATGAAATAAGCAAAAATAAGAAAAAATAATTAATAAATTTATATATTTTTAAGTAAAATTATAATTGTATGAAAATCTTTAAAATTATATTATTTATTACTTATATACTAATGTAAGTTAAATATATAATTAATAAAACGAGAATGGATATAATTAACCGTGTCAACTCTATGATACCTCTATAAATAAACGATTTTAAATGTCGGAGATAATTGACATACAGTTTTATACAACCTCGTATACAGACATATAAAAGACCTTTTATAGTGCTATCTTATACATATTTATATAACATATTCACAGAAAAAAAAGAGTAGAAAATTTACCTAAAACAATAGTATAAATCACCTAATGAAATGCTTGATTTTCAGCCTCCTAAACTATTTAGCTACATTGCCTAATTTAAATTAGCTGAATTTACTTTTTAATAATTAGGAAAATTAACCAAATAAATTAGCTAATTTATCTACAATACTAGCTAAAACACCTAAACATTTGTCTGGATTTCAACTAAGCAAATAGTTGGTTCACCTAATCTTTTAGTTGTATAATTTTAAAATCTTTTTGGAATTCAACTAAAGAAATTGGAATTTCACCTAAATAAGTAGCTGAAAAATATTCCCTACAATAGATAATATGCCTAATTATTTAGTTATAAGAATCGAAAATATAACTATTTAATTAGATAAATAAAATAGAGTTTTTACCTATTATATTAGAAAAAGTACCTAAATAAATTCGGCTCTCTTCTAAATTTATTTAGGTTTAATCCTGAAAATAAGAGGAAGTTATAAATTAAAAATTAAGTTTTGTTTCATTTAATTTTATTCACAACAAAAGAAAAATGTATTATTTTTAAAACATATATAGGTAATCAAAAAAAAACTTATTGGTTTTCAAATCACTAAAAGTAATTACGTCATTAATTTGGTATAAAGTATTGTGGACATATAATTTATTTGTGCAACTTAGTTTTTCAAATTTCAAATTTTTCAGGCTCCAAATGTAATGATTGACTTTCTGAAAGTTTTTAACACTCCTGCGTTTTGGTATTTTTTAGATAAACTGTAATATTTTTCTAGTAATTTACCTCGTTGACCTTTAGCTCCAACGTAAATTTACTAAAAGTAAAACTATATCAAGAATCCAAGTAATTACATTAACGTATAAACAATAAAAAAAACAACTACTAACCAAATCGAAAGTTTCGCTTATGCTACTACCTTGCTGCAACGTAGACGTACTCTGTGTATTTGAAAGCCAATTTCCTACTGTATTAGATGTAGATAATGGTATCAGAACCTTGTTTTATTTTTTAAATTTTTTAAAATTAATTTCAATCACTAAAAATTTACTTTACAAAAACAAAACTATGCTTCTTAACTATATCAATATTCACCATGTACTAGCTTCTATTCAAATACTTTAAAAATTAGAATACAAAAAAAACTAGCGGTACTTTGGATTTTCTCTTGATAAAACGAGTGTTTTTATGTGAATTCAGCTAATGTTTTCGATATTTCGACCAATGTTTTAGTTAATTTTTTTTTGGAGCAAAATAAAGTGGCTGAATCACCTAAAGTTATAGTTAAGATATCTAGAAAAGTAGTCATTGAAGAAGAAAAGTAACGGTATTTTGTTTTTTATTTTTTCTGAACAAAATATTTAATCTTTTGATAAGTCAGCCAATGTTTTCGGTAGTTCAACTAATGTTTTAGTCAATTTTTTGCAATAAAATGAAATAGCTGAATCAACTACTGTTGTAGTCAAAATATTTAAAAATGTAGTCATTGATTAGGAATTTATAAAAAAACTGTAAATTTATTTTTTGTTTTCTTTTCTAAAATAACCAAATGTTTAGGTGAAATGTCTATTAAAATTAGTTGAATATTTTCAACTACTTATTTTAGATAATACACCTAAAGGATTAGACATATCACCTATTTTTTTTAATATTGCATTCAACTAATTCTAAATAGTTGGGCCAGCTAATAATGAATTTTAAAACAGCTAAAGGAGTTGTCAATACTTCTAATTGTTTATAAAAAACACCTAATTTGTGATCAGCTAATTACGATTAGTTGAAAAACCTAATTCATTTTTTTCTGTGTTGTAGTCGCCATATAAGCCCATACAATCTAAAACAGTTTTGCTGAAAATTATGGCCCCATCAACAAATTCTTTAGTTTAAAATTTCAATAGTTTCTCAGCTATGAACAAACACCTTATTAAGTTGTATGGCAACTACCACAAACAGTCGAAAAATTTCAGCGGTTTTATCAATCCTAGCAGCCTATAACAATCCTATAACATATTTTCTAGTGGAAATCTTCAAAATTATAGACTGAATAATTTCTGACAGATGGCCAAATAACTTTGCAAGTTCTATGGCAACTATCAAAAGTGCTCATGAGATCTTCACAGATTTTAATGAATGCTCTTTTACTATATTTGTTTTTTTACAGTACTGAAACTGTAGGTTGAACAATTTTTAAGATACAGTTAAATAACTTTTCACGTTGTATAGCAGCTACCTGAAAAAGACAAGCAGTTTCAGCTACTTTTATCAAAAACATTAGCCCTAATAATAAATTCGTTTGGACGAAATTTCAATACCATAGCTTCTATAATTTTTGAGATATAACCGAATAAGTTTTGAAGTAGTATGGCAGCTATCCGAACCAGTATCTCGATCATATTAAATTTAAATAGGGTTCTGGCATTTTTTATAATAAATCATTTGTTTTTCAATTTGGAATACTTAGCTCAAATAATTTTTGAGTTATTGCTGGGACAGACGGATAGACATGGTCAAATCGACTCAGAATTCGACACTGAATTTAAAACATACATTTACGTCCATATCTCAAACCGTTATGTCTTAGCCTTACAAACTATACGGTAAATTAAGTGTAATCTGCGAACATACGTTCGTACGGGTATAAAGAACGCGACAAGTGTACATAAGTAAGACTTCATTAGAGATTAAAATTTTCTATATTATTTTTTTCATGTTCACTATATTTCACATTCATTAGGAAATTATTATTGTTTTTGTGAATAAGATTCATGCATACACAATAAACATCTATATTTCACACACACATCTGCACCATCTTAATACACCTATATATATATAAATATATATATATATATATATACATACATATACGTGGTTATAACATACTTACTGTTATAAACCAGTTAAAATATTGTAATGTTTATAAAATTACACTTTTACTTATCATTTATGAGAAAAATTTTTCAAAACTTTTCTAAATTAATTACCTACTTTTTTTTTATTATTTCTTATTTTTTTGTGTTAATTTTTGTTCTTAATTCCTTTTAATACTTTGAAAATTATAGAAAATAATAAAAAAATATATAGAAAACATATAGAAAATTTTCTATAATATATATATAGAAAATTTCTTCCACGTCAGTTATTTGAAAAAAAAAATAAACAAAGAAACGAAAAGTAAAAAAAAAATTGTCGAAAACAAAAATTACAAAGCGAAACACGTAATAAAACTTCAATTATGAACCGTAAATTACCTTTATAATTTCATTTAATGACAAAGACGTGACAATTATTTTATTGACTTACAAATTGATCTACTACACACAATTGTTTTTCGTATATCTACATCTTTAACTTATAAGCAATCAACTTTCTATATGTAAGATTAATTAATATTTTTATAATTTTTATATTGCATGCATTGAAGAAGATTAAAAAAAATTAGAAATGTATGGTAAAATGCCACATTATATAATTCAATTGAAAAATTAAGTAGATGTTTTTCTTACAATGAGTTAAATGAAAATTCCCTAAATGAAAAATTCTATGTGACAGACACTATATTTGTAGAAACCATATTATTTAGGAAATTTTAGGCGGAAATTGGGCTCACATTTACCCAATGGGTCTGTTGCATGATATACGAAACAACAACAGAGACGTGATACTCATATGTATGCGTTCAGATTGAAATCACTGATTTTAAATAAATTAAATATAATCTGGTTAAAGTAAGCAGGAATATAATTATAAGAATGGAGTCAATTATGTAGACTATAGATTTTGTCTTAAAACAACAATGCACCCACATGGATCTATTGTCTCCGTCCTACCCTACTGGAGAAATGCTATGGATATATTAACAAAGCACGCATGCCCTAGGCATATCCGAAAGTCCAACCGAAAATGTTTTGTTATAGTCGATAATCTAAATCAGAAATAATTTAATGATTAAATTCTTTCATAATATTCTATTTATATTTCCTTTAAATAAACTATAATTATGCTAACTTAAAAGTAAATTAAATTTTTTATTTAATTATTATAAGAAAAAATTTAATATAATAATTTTAAAATTTTATTGTTTCCTATACTCATGCCAATATTATTTAATTTAATTACTATATTATAACAATTTTTCTATTTTGAATTGAATTTTTTTTTGTTTAATTTTATATTGAAATTAAAATTGCATTAAAATTTCAAATTCAATTTTAATAAATTTGAATTAATTACAAAAATATATTTTAAACAATATTTTTAATTGTAAATTTTAATCTTAATAATTAGTTTTAATTTTTTCTTTTAATATTAAATTAAATGCATATTATTTGTATAGCAATATTTAATTAATATTTATTTAAAATTATATTTAAATATTTTAGAATAATTTTTTCCACAAATATAAAGCTACAGTAATTTGAAGTAATTCTCGAAGATTGCTTGAATAAACT